TGTGTGATGTTGTAGTTTTGTTTCCCTTGTTAAGTCAATTATTTCTCTCTTTTATTTTATTTATTTATTTATTTTTTTTGAAGATAAAGGACCAAAGTGTATTGAAAGAGTTCTCCCTGAAGGGAGAGATAAATCACCACTGAGAAAGCAATGCAACATTGAACCCAATTATTCGCATGACTTCCTGCACCGAGTTCATAATCATGAAAATTATGTGAATACAAACACAATAACGTTGAAATAGTTCTCTCCTCAATGGAGATAATCATCATTCTGAGAAAGTTACGTAAAATCTCTCTTCACCGCGGCTGAAAACAATAAAAAACAAACGGAAAATTTATGAATTTGTGGTAAAGCAAGAGTCCCGTTCATAATTTTAGGGGTATGGTTACGTTATTTGATTAATAACCGTTAGATTGGGTTTAATTAATCATAACCACATGATTTGCATTAAATGATTAAAAATATATATAAATCTTTTTACAGGCAACCGGTTGTCAAAAGGATTATACTATATATGGTATTATTTTTTTTTGAAAGGATATGTATGGTAATAATATAATTTACTCTCTCCGTCTCATAATTATTGTCCACTTTGAGTTTTCATTTTTAATTCAAATTATACTAAAAATGAAATCTCAAACTGGATAATAATTTTGGGACAGAGGGAGTTTTCTTCTCCTTATCCCTTCGTATGTTTCTACTCTCTCTCATTTTCTGTTCTTTTTTTTAACTGTCTCTCTATGCTGTTCCTTTTTTTCTCTTCTTTTGCTTCTTTTTGAACGTACTTTTTGTGAAGCACAAGGAGGAGGGCAGGACAAGATTTGGAGAAGATAAGGATTATATCAAATTATTCGAAATAATCTATAGACTTCTAAAATGTAGCATAAAATATGAAAGATTGGCCAAATTTTTAACATCCAAAATCTAAAAGAATATCAACATGGCCCTTGATGTATAAAAGTCTATAATATTAGTTCCTATTACTATTCTACGTAAAGGCCACTGCAGTTGACAAATCTTAAAAACCAAAACTAAAGTAGTCGTGCAATTTCCTATTCTTGTCAGAAAAAATTGATGAAAATTGCTTAGTTTGTTTCGACAAATAATGTATCTAATTTGCTGCTTTTTTTTTAATGTTTGCGAAACCAATATATTATCTTTTTTGCTCCCAGATAATGCTTAGAGATTTTGTATAAGGGAGAGTGGAAGAAGATGAAGTTATTTTAGAATAAATGAGAAAATTGCAAAAGTCATGTTTTCTGAAAAAAAAAATGAAAAGAAAATAAATTAACCGCATTTACATAGTTTCTACATTTTCAAATACCAACATAGTGAATGGGCAATTTATTTTTCTTAAATATGCTATAACGTCACAGATGTATTATTATGCTAAAACAACAAAAGTTCTAATCAAAATTTTATTATTCAACTTAATATTTAAATAATCGCTCAAAGCAAAATTGCAAGATTTTATGTGCAAAGGTGTAAATAAAAAATGTCAAAAACACCTTATATAAGAGATGGTGCAATACTTTTTGAGTCAATATGCAAAATCAGTGAGATGTTTACGTATTGTTTGTACTTGTTATATCTTTCACTGCTGGCTATACAACAATTTTATAATTCCACACGAAAAAATAAAAACTACCATGCCCTAAATAAATACAAGGAACCAAAATACAAACACACAGTAATAATCTACAACTTCTACAACACCTCATAAAATATAAAACATTGATCCATTTTTCGGAATCCAAAATCCAACATTAATTCCTATTACTATTACATCTAAAGGCCAATGAAGTCAACAAAACTAAAAAATCAAAACTGAAGCATAATAAATAATTTTATAAGCTTTACCGAGCGAATATTAACATATAATTTTAGATAATAAAATCATACGTTAATACTTATCGAACAAGAGGTCCCCAACAAGAGTTAATGTTCTTTATACGTTAATACTTACCACGCAGGTGCCGGGCCGGTGGAATCTTCCTTCTTGGCAATAGCAGCCATTCCCACAAGGACATCGGCCCGGACAGCGATTGGGATGGAACCCTAGGGATTTTCGACCTTCAGTGACCATAGAGAGAAGAAAGTCTTTGGACTCGATGTCTTGTTCAACTTCCGACGTCACCGGCGCAACTACGATGTAGAAGAAGGAGAAGAAGAAGGAATAATCAGCAATATTCTTGAACAAATAAAAGTACAAATTAACTTCAAAAGATCAAAAGCGAGAGCGACTGAAATAATTTTACTTACATGAGACAACGTTAAGCAATGAGAAAACTTAGCCATTGACCTTTCTTCTTGTTGTGGTTGTTTGAAAGAAAAAAAGAACAAAACACTCAGAAATTATAGTTTTTATATGCAAATGTGGAATGGTGAGTCTGTTCATTCATGGCTAGGTTCACTTTGATCATACATATTTATAGATGCATGGACCTGTGGGAAAGAGAGGGTTTGCAAGAAAGAAATGGATGGAGCCAAATTCCATAACTAATTTAATTTGTCTTGTCCCCCCTCACATATAATAAAATAAAAGCAATTATGAGGCGGCTCCATATTTAAAATTGATATGTCTCGCAATGATGATTCATTTTTTTATTGTTAAATAGTAGTAAAAACTAGTGATAGTGTACTGGGTACAACTTGTTTTGATATGTTAGATTGAAATGTTAGATTGGGATACGCAATAATATTTAATAGTAAGGAGCAATATATACACACTTATTTAAATCAGACTCAAAACGGGACAAATGATATATGACTTCTTAGCCAGTTTTTCTACAAAATACATCCTCAAAACAGAAAAATTTAGCGTTCCTATTCAAAACTTTACTTGTATGGTTAATAATATCTTACTCTTTTTTGGTTAATCAGTATTGTCCATTGTATGAATTTTTTGCCAACTTTGTCCAATCGATCCAATTTTCATTAAACTTAATGAAGTTCTGTTAGTTTTAATTATAAAAATATCTCAATAGTTTCAAAAATTATAAATGTCCCTAAAATATGTAAAAAAAAAAAAAAAACAGTTTAGACCTTTTATTATGTAAAAAATAACCCTAAAATATCCAAACTATGTTAGAGTTGTACCACTTATATTAATTTACACTTCTCCATTACCCGTAATCCAAAATTTTCCGATCTCCTAATATGTAAAATATCTGCACACAAAACCTTTCCAAAATCTTCATTTCTTTTTGCATTTACATTTAATATGAATAGATTATATCAACAGGGGTAGGAGGGTTGAGTGAGACGGTTAGGGATTAGAATGATGATAGGTATTACGAGAAGGTAGAGAGTTTGATTCTCGCTAGGATCATCTAATTTTTTTTTAAAAAAAATATATTGAATCAAGAAAATGACATCAAGTATAAAAATAAGAAAATGACAGAGTATATATTATATTTATTTATTTATTTATTTTTTACATTACATCAAGTATTTTTTTAAAAGAAAATGATAGTAAGAATAAGTAATGAAATAGAATGGTGACTGATGTATCATTTATAAAAATATGTCTAATTATCCTTTATTATGTGAATAATTATTAAAAGAGTGATGTGACATGTTTAATATTTTTCCCAAACTACTATCTCATTTCACTAGTTATAGTCACTCTCTATTTAATGGATAATTAAACAGAATGATATCAACAATGCAAAGGGTTTGTTGGGCATTAGCCGGGTCGAAAATCTAGTTATTATTACTTATAAGACACAGCTTTTTTTAACTTCTCTGAATATGAAGGGGTTACAAAAAGAAACTTAATCAATTGTAGAAGTATGTAATTAAATTATTCGCAATTATAGAGATAGTAAAAAGTCATTGTGATTGATGCGTACTTAATAATTAGGAATAACAATATACTTTGAGGGAAGAATAATATTTTAACGAAAAAATGCTAACAAAATAGAAAGTTATATTGATACACATCAATCATTATTTTCTTTTATTATTTGTTTTTCACTATGTTCATATCGTTTTCCTTCAATTATATAGCAGTTTAGTTACGGGACTATGCAGGGTGGCGGAAACAGTTGCATGCATAAAAATAACTGGGCCTTCCAAATGTTTGAGGAAACTTATCGGCAAACAATAGCAACCAAACTATCATAAATTCTTGTCTAATACTTTTTTTTTTTTGACTGAAGTGCATAATTCTCTATTTATGCCATTCTTATTTCACGAAATCAACTTATAATTTTTTGAATAAATCATCATAATCAGAAATGGAATGTTTTGTCATTTTATACATTCTCATTGGAGAGCCGTTTTGTTATCTGGTCAATGAGGAATATCGCAATTTCTTGAATCTCAATGGTGATTCGTCATTTTCTCCAAGACCTCAAAAAATTCATGATAAGATGGAAGATGGAGTCAGTTGCTTTTTAAAATTAGTAAATTGACATTATTGTTTGATATAGAGATGCCCATATTTTATTTTCTTTTTTTTTTTTATATATATAGGTTTTCTGATTAAAAAAAAAAGTGAGGAAGATAGAGATGCATACTCAGCAGAGAGATTAATATTTCAAGTCAAGGCTTTACAAGTTCTCTTCCAGTAGATGAACTGTCTCTTTCGCAATTCCTTTTTCTTTTTTCCCCTTAATTGTCATATTCACATCTGTTTTTATATCCTCACTTAATTAATACTAAAACTTAGTCAAAAAAAAAAAAAAACTTTTCCATTTCTTTTACAACTATTTTATGAAAGCTCCACTGCCAGTTTGTGCTTAATCTAACATTTTTGCCTAATTTATTTTTAGTCAAATCCATCTCCATCAAGATTATAAATATAATTCTTTTTCTGTTTTTTTTTGGTCAGAAAAGTTTATTTTATTACAGTAAACTGCAGTCAAGGAATAAATTCATCATATCACTCTTTTACTATTTAATTAATTAAAAACAAACTACAGTTGGGAGACTTGTTCCACCGGAAATGATTCATTCGGGTATAGAGTGAGAATTAGTTTAGTGTAATATATGCTCGAAATCGTATAGGATTACCTCATGGTTTTCTTTGACTTACTATAAAAGAAAAATACATATGTAACAAAGATTTAAATTTAGCAGAAAATGGTGACAAATTCAAAACTTAAGCCTGAGATACAATGCTGCAATATTGTACCATTTTTGTGGTTGATTCTTTCTAATTACAACTCAAATTAAATACTACCCCCGTCCCAAAAAAATAATCTACATTGAGTTTTTAAATTTATACTGAAAATAGTACAAAATTCAAAATTTAATGTGGACTATTTTTGTGGGACGGAAGGAGTAATTAGCTAAGGTAACTATGCACAAGAAAAACGTTTAGCTTCTACCAGTACTTTGATTCTGAATATTGAGGAGTCCCTTTGTCAACCAAATGGCTGTTTCTCTTGATGAAACAGTTTCTTCACCAAAGGGCTGCAGCACACCAGCAAGTTCTTCGATCCGTTCCCGTTTAAGTAGTTTAGCACAGAGTTCAAGTAATGACTCCAGTGCATCTGCTCTTTGCTGGCTGACAATTTCTGCAACGGATTTTTCTTGATCCCTATCATCACTTTCTCTAGTAACTATGTGATCATTGCCAGACATTGTTGATAAGTTGGTGGAATTAGTCCTTGAATGTGGTTCTACCATTGTTTGCTTGCAGAGTTTAGATTCTTGTTCTTGTTTGTCTTCAAATATTTCTGTAGCTTCTGATGATACTTCATCTTCATCTTCAAGTAGCCAATTGATATATAGTTCCTGGAAAACAGCTCCCTCGGATTCGCGAGCTACTGGTTGATGAATATAGAGTTGTTTCCCTTTATCTTCCTCCTCATCTGTTAGTGTGCTTATTGAGGAATCAAAGCTTTCATAAGCCTTCCTAACAGGACTCATGCCTAATCTGCGACTTCCATTGGTTTTGGCCTTAGGTGCAACTTTCCTCAAGGAAGGACTGCGAGGCGTCCACTTCGCCTCATTACTAGGTTTAAGGATCTTACATGGGAGCTGTTTACTAGTAATTGCATTTTCATTGTGCCAATTGATGTTTCCGCCAGCTACCGGATTAACGCCTTGAGGAAGTTTAGACGGTCTGTCCTTCCCACATTTTGCATTATTTCCAAATTCGCCTCTGCCTGACAAGCGACGACGGTTAGAATCCTTTGCGGATTTTATTGGGAGGAACACTGGTGATGAGTTGTGATGTTGAGCAATGTATGGTTGCAAATGCGGATGCCTCAGAAGCTCTGCAGCCTAACAAGTGAAATTGTCGAGTTAGCATATAAATCGAAAAAGTGAACAGATACGTTGATGGTGGATTTTCATTACTGACCGTTGGTCTGTGATCAGGACTTTTCCTCATCATGCTCCTAATCAACTGCTTCCTGAGAAGAACATGTGTATAATCTCATTTCTTAAATTATCATAGTGAGACAGAACATTTCAATGGGTTGGGGAAATGACATTCACTTACAATGTGGAGGAATATAGATTTGGAATTGGAGAGATTGTTGATCTGCTGATTTTGTTTACAAGCCCCGCGATATCCTGTTTTGTCAACCCACAAAGAGATTCTCAGGATCCATTAATTATTCAGGGGGAAAAAATGTTGTGAGGAGCCTAATGTTAATCAGAAATGTTGAAACTTACTGCAGCTCTGAATGGAGGTTGATGAGTAGCAATCTCAAACATACAGCAGCCTGACATTTACCAATACCACCAGTTCTAATGAGACCAAATCACTACCATTTTACCAGTCTTCAAGAATAAATTTGATAAATAAAAGTGCAGGTCAAAGCAGTTTACCCAGGGACCAGATATCAGATTTGTAGCCGTAAGGTATATCTGCCAGGAGCTCGGGGCACATGTAATTTGGAGTACCCACAACCTAAAAATGATGTGGTGATGTTAGATTGTTGGATTCTTGCAGTACAGTGATTTAGAAGAAATTATGGTGGGATTGAGAAGCTGGCTGGAAAAGCAAAGAGAAGCACTTACTGAAGAAGCAAGACCACCATTTGTCAGCAGCTTTGCTAGTCCAAAGTCACCTGCAAACAATAGTAGAAATATCCCTGAAATTTCAATTGCACAACATAATCTAATAATTCAAAAGTTTCCTTTCCTTTCTGTACCTAATCTTATTTCTTGGTCTTTTGTAAGGAAAATGTTTGAGCACTGCAAGAGTATGAAACTGAAATCAGGTCACAGGCTAACAGTTCTGATACTTTAGGTGATTCAGAGTCGCGAAAGAGGACCACCGTTTGACTGGTTTCAGAATCCTGAAATTTACCTTGAGATCCCTGTGAAGAATGTGATTCGAATGAAGGTAGTCTAAAGCCAGCAAAAGCTGAGTCATCCATCTACAAATCTTCTGTTGACAGAAGCAGAAGCATATTAGATAGGCATCCCTTTGTAAGACCTAAATTGTTCTAGTTAGCGGATCATTAATATCCCTTACCTCCTCAGGGAATAAGGCCCCCTTGGCTTTCTTGATCAGCTTAGCCCTGATACATTAGGAAAGAATGTATTAGTTTTTCATACTCATTACGCTTTTTAGGCAAGCCTCCCCGCGGCAAGAGCAGTGAGAACAACAGTTGGAAAGAAGAGCTAAGATCATGCGCGGTTTGATGAATTGATTCAATGGGTGTTGTCAGACTTACATATCTCCACCTTCACAATAACTTGTCACTATACACACAGAGCCATCCTGTTTCATCAGAAATCTGTCTTGTTATAGCAGAAAATGATCAGCTAGTTTGTCATTAATCTTTCAGGGTTCATACTTATACTTGCAAACATGATCCAACCTGTGGCCGGTTAGAAATCACTAGTTTATCAAATCTGAAAAACGCATTCCATTCTTATTCATGTACCTTCTCTACCCACGCGTCTTTAAATCGCACAATGTATGGGTTGTTCAGATTTGCCATCAACTTCATCTGCAAGAACAAGTAGGTTGAAAAATCAAACTAAGTTCGGCAAAATGCAAAAACTGACAGTTGAATTCTAGGATCTTTTCCTTCCTAATTTCTACCATTCAAGGTTTCTAAAAAGTTTTCACTTGTTAAATTGGAAGCCCCCTAGCAGAGAGTTAAAAAAGTCATGTTTATTGAGTCTTTTTGTCTCTTTTGTGGTACATCTAAATAAAAGTTTTTTTTTTGCTGTGTCAACAACAATGCTATATTGCCATTAGACAGCGTTCAAACTTCACTGGAATCATTGCCTTAAATGTTCATCAGACACCAAGATGTATTCTAACAAGCCAAAATCACTCAACTTATGAAACATGACTGAAAAGCAAAGCAATGTCCTTTGGCAATTAAATCATCTCTTTGGTTCATAACTTCCGAAAGCTAATCCACAGAAAATAAGAAGAGGAATGAACAATGTCACCGCAGATCAAAATTAGGTAGGAAAGCCTAAAAGAAAGCTGACATTAATCCAAAGTTTTAGCAAGATGCAAGTCATTAGTTGTTGTCAATCACATGGCCACACAGCTTAAAAGTTGGTGAGGTTAGTTATGCCTAAAATACATTTTTTTGTAAGCCAACCAAAATCTATGTCGGAATAGTTTGGGATTAGACCTCTTGATGCGCAGTTCGTTGTTGTTTCGCCGTTTGTCGGGCTAACCGGATCTTCTTCAGCACATACCTAACACAAAAAAAAAAAAAAAAAAAAAGGCAGCAGAATTCCCAACAATCAAATTTGAGAACTTGCAGAAAACAGAGAATTGAGAGAACCAAGCAAGAAACTGAACTGTGGGATTATTCTTCAATCATAAAACACAATGAATAGAAAGATGGAAACAACTCGGTTGGACATCAATCACAAACCATTGTTTTAAACAGTAAAGACCATATTGCGGTTTATAATCATTATTAATCACAGAGTTCAACAGGCAAAAAAAAAAAAAAACCTTAAAAATTCTTACTTTTTTCTCTGTGTCTTGTGATGAGCAAGTAAGGCAGCTCCAAAAGCACCTCTTCCAATCTGTTCTACAACTTCATAATCTTCCATCTTGGATTTGACTTCTGGGCAGTTAATCTCCATGATTATCTTCTTAAGCCAAAAGGGCTCAACAAAAACACCTTCATGAATGTAACTTTTAAATGTAAAAACCGGAACAAGAAGGATAGCTACCCTATTTAAATCACTCCATTTAATAACTCTGCAAAAGATTTGTACCTCATCTCATTAATTGTATTGAATTTATGGCGCGTCTGGAAACAGAGAAGAAAATCAAAAAAACAGAGTAAATATTCTTGGTGGTGGAGCCGGATTTTTCTTTTAAAGCATTCAATTCCTGTAGGAATCATGAAAGTAACCTGAAACAAACAACATTCAGGGTAATGAATACAGTAATAATAACACAGGTACACACACACACACACACTACTGAGTTTGTACAATATCATCAAAAAAGTCATGTGATGATGAGTTTTGCTTAGAACCCATGATTTGAAGGCAAGGAAAGATTATACTAGTACAATTGTCTGAATTTTTTGATTGAAAAAGGAGGGAATGAATTAATAAGATGAAAAAAAAGAAATTAGAAAAAAAAATATAGAGAGATTCTTTTTGACAGCTAGACAATGGATGATTTCTTGTTTAACTCATTTTAGGCCTTTTGTTTTAGTTTGCTTGCTTCTTTAGCTTCTTCCTTTGGATGGTATGATTACCATTTTCCAGTTTGTTGGTGGGTCGTTTTCTTCTGTTGGCAAAAGTTGGAACTTTTTTTGCCGAATAATATTGTTTTACGGATTCATGAATTTTTTTTTATTACTAATGATTTGGATTTGTGAATTTTAAAAATGCTATAGTGGAAGAGTGACTTTTGTATCTTTAGTGTGGATTTACGTATCCAACATGTAATGGTTGAAAGAGTCACTCCATTGGCCGAAAGAAGATCTTATACATCAATTTATGTTTGGAGTATTTCGGTTTTACAACGATAGTCATGTTTTAAGACGGGTGTAATAACTTTTTCCCACTTTTTATCAAAAAAAACTTTTTCCCACTTTGGATTATTTTTGGGTTAGAAGTATAGTATGACATTTTCTCATACTTTTATATTGAACTTTGAACAATGAATAATCATATTAGTGAAAGAACTAGAAACTCTACTCCTTTCGTACTCGTCCAATTTGAATTTTCAATTTTTAGTACAAATTTTGAACTAAAAGTAAAAATCTAAACTAGAGAATAATTTTAGGACGGCGAGTGTATATATAGTAAGTTTATTAATTAAATGAAAAAATACCGATATATTTTTATTTTGAACGCAATTTTTCTTTTTTACGCGGACTATTATGATGCTCCCTCGGTCCCTAATATAAGACATTTTGATTTGTCCTAAATTTCACCTAGTATACATGTTTAATTGACAAAAAAAACTTTAAAAATATTTCCTTATAATCAAGAAAATACAACAAATGTGAAAATATATTTTTACGGTTTTTTTTCAATTAAAAGTGCATATTTGGTAAAACCTAGAACAAATCAAAATGTTTTATATTAAGGACCGGAGGGAGTATGTATCAGGGTAAGTATATCATCAATTAAAATACATAAACTTAAAAGCTCTATGTAATTTTAAGGTGGCATTAATAAGACCCACTAAAACACACAAAAAAAAAAGAAAAAAGAAAAAAGAAAAAAAAAGGACAGAACTTCATTAGCGATTGCTCAAAAAATACATTGCCCAGGTAACTTGTCTTGGAAATTTTGTAATAGCTCGTCATCTTGTAATGATTGTCACTAAAATGGAACCATCTTTTACTGAAATTATGAATGTTCTTATTTGACGCTAGGGTGAAACTATCATATCAGTCAATTAGTCAGTAGAAAGTCAATTGACTGTTTATATCATTGCTCATCCCCATTAAGCTAGAGATTTAAACTACGTGATAAACAAATTGGCGGAGTCCTTTCGTTTCATTATTGTTACTACAGTTTTCTGTAATACTTCTTGGAGTAATTTAATACTCCTTCCGTCTCAAAAGGAGAAAAAAAATAGTCCATTTTATTGTACTGGTCTTAATGAAGAGTAATTTTTTTTTTTTTTGGAAACGTAGAAAATAATAAATGCTAGTGAGAAATATGTCATACCACGTCATCCTGAAAACTACTTTAATTCACTGGAGCTGCTTTGTAGTTTAAGAAGTACGAATAATAAACACCACAATTCTGGTTCAGACCTTAAATTCACCGTCAACAAGGAACCCGTCTTGGTGTTGCAGTAAGCCATGAACTTCCAATTTCATCAAGGGAAAACCACAATATATAAACTTATTCAAATTCTAAATAACTTTTAATCGAGTAAACAGATAATTAAGAGCCAGTGGAGGCTGGGAAACGGAAATTAAAAATGGAAACACTGCTTTGTGATGCTGCCATTGAAAACAATGTTAAAGCATTTCGCGAGTTTCTCCGAGAGGATCCACTTGTGATTGATAAAGCCATGTTGAATTGTCAAGATATGATGATGAATCCTCTTCACACTGCAGCATTGTTTGGCAATGTTGAATTTGTGAAAGAAGTTCTGGGTGTCCGTCCATATATGTGTTTCTCTACCGATCGATTCGGAAGAATCCCTTTACATTTCGCGATCATCAATGGCAAATTGGATGTTGTGAAAGAGATAGTTGGTGCTAGGCCGCTCGCAGCTCGAGAAAGGGTTCCCGGTGGAGGAAATGCTCTGCATTTGTGTGTCAAATATAATCAGCTGGAAGCTTTGAAGTTTTTAGTGGAGACAATAAGAGATCCTGATTTTGTTAACCGGAAAGATGATGATGGGATGACCATATTACATCTGGCGATTTGCGACAAACAAATCGAGGTATACTCCAAAAATTGCCTTGTTATATACCTTTGGTCAGAAATTTCCAGGTTCTTATAGTTTAATGTCATCTGATTTGAATGAATTGGTGAAATAAATTTGCAGACTATCAAATACTTGATTGAAAACAATGTCCTACAAGTGAATGCAAAGAGTGCAAATGGGAGCACTCCATTAGACCTCTTTCAAGGAGACAGTGGTTCCGAAATCGAACGAATTCTTGAGCTCGCAGGAGCCAAAGGCGGCATGTACATCAGCTCCTCTGTTGCTGGAAATTGCCCACCTGAAGCTTCAAACGGCACTACGGCACAAAGAACAGAATCGCGGCTATCCAAGAGAAGGGATGCGCTGATTGTTGTCGCCTCGCTTATCGCTACAATGGCGTTCCAGGCCACGACGAATCCTGCAGGGGGTGTTTGGCAAGACGGTGAAGCAGTGATGGCACATAAATATCCAAGCTCCTTCAGAAATTTCATCACGACTAACACAATAGCCTTTGTTTCATCCCTGAGCACAATCATGCTCCTCATCAGTGGTTTGCCGTTCAGAAACCGATTATTTCTGTGGGCTTTGATGGTAATTATGTGGATAACAATTTATTCCATAGCTTCAACTTATAACTTATCAGTTGCTATAATAACACCCACAGATGATATCACAAAACTAAGACTAGTAACTCCGGTTGTTATGAATGTTTGGTCTGGGGTTATCTTGCTGTTGTTTCTGGGGAACGCAGTTCGATTGATCCATGTTTGGCTCAAACGGCGACAAGGTATTGATCTGTTCAAAAAGCTAAGGAGGCAGGGGAATCCGGGTGCGCAAGGAAGTCTTCAGATGTGTTGATTAATAGGGCAGCAGGGGAACAGAATGTAGCTGGGACTATGCCAACTTAATCAATTATTTTCCTATTTATTTATTGTTATACATTTGGTTCAAATTATTTTCAGAGCAGAGAAAGTACTAAGCAAAATTTAGTTGTACAGAAGTGAAAAGTTAAATATATACTCCATCCGGTCCTTATCATAAGGCATTTTGATTTGTTCTTAGTTTCATTTATTATGTTCTTCCAATTGAAAATAAAATCTTGAAAATATTTTTTAATAATTAGGCGAATACCATAAATGTGAAAAATAATAAAACCTTATAAGTACCTTCCTAAACATACATCGTGAGATTTGATGAATATCCCTCCCTAGAATGTCTCAGTGGTAACTTATGCAATTTGACAATCTACATCAATACAATATTCCTCCCTAGAAGGAACACTTCAGTTGTCAGCTTTTAGACAGCTGGAGCATTCCGACTTTCAATGGGGACGTTTGAGGTTCAACAAACAAGCACTAGAAATTGAAAGATAACCAAAGAAGCAAACGGAAGAAGTTTGATGCTCCTATAGGCGGCTAATCACGGCTTCAACCTCTGATGGTGTGTATAGGTGGTAAGTTGGTGCAACCTTCGCAATGTCGACATTGTTAGGAGTAACCTGACAATTGTATGTAGCAAATGTTAGGTTAAATTTTCTATGGAAATGGAGACAAAAGAATAAAATGGACTGCAGCATTGCTTGCTGAAAGGTTGATGGAAAAAAGGTAGTGCTTAAATCTCTACCTTTTCTTCCATAACTTGCTTAAGGATGGAAAGCGCAATTGTTTCTGCTTCTTGAAGCGTCAGATTCTGCATTAATGAAATAGGGGAGCAATCAGATGTTGTCATTCACTTCAAGTAGGATGGGGGTAAAAGCAGCTATTCCTTTTCAATTGCACTAGACCTAATTGTTAACTATCGTGGCAACAAATCACGCAACAAAAATATTGCAAGCCTTGAGCAGCACTTTAGTTGTAAAATATGTACAGTACATGGGAAATAAGTAACAGATAATCTCTTAAAAGGAAAGAGTGGGTGAGCCTGTGAGGAACTGTACCTCATTATACTGCTCCTGCAAAGAACTATCGGCGCCTTCAGAGCCGGATCCAATAGCTTTTGCATTGCATTGCCAAAATGTGCCTGACGGATCTGTATGATACCTAATGCAGACAACCAAACCTCACTTAGGTACAATTTGAAAGGGCAGGTGCTTTATTCTAATGGCACATGCTAGAAGACAAATAAAGAAGCGCATACAAGCACAATCTAAAAAAGCAATCTTAAACCATACATAAGCACAGACAACTTCAAAGGATTCTAATCTAGGACAACATTCAACGTTAAATTTCTGGCTGAAAAGACAATCCAACAAATACAGAACTACTCTTATTAACTAGTGAAAAAGGGGGAATCTTACAAGCTGGGGCCATGTTCGTCATGACCAGCAAGCAGTAGAGACACCCCGAAAGGTCTAGACTGCACGGAAAAGAGTGAATTCAACTTGTTAGATAAAGAATAAGAAAACTTAAAGGTAGAAGAGAGAGATAAAACCCAACAGATAGAAATTCAGGAATATTTAAGCTCATTCCTCGAAAATGCTTGAACCAAGAAATCTCACTTAATAACTGATGTGAATTCAAATCTTTTGGAAGCTTCGCTGAATTGAGAAGAATTAAAAAAGAACAGTGAAATTACTTCCTCAGTCTTGAGGCCACTGCCTAGTGAAACTCATATTTTGAAGCTCAAGAGAACAGGAGATTTATGGGGCAAATATGAGAGAGCTAGTGGAAAGGGTATCATTAATAATAATGTACTAGTACTTCATAAAAAGCAGTAGCTTCAGTACACAGACAATAACAAAAACAGTCTCAAAGTGACTAGGTTTTACTTGATATTTGTTTTCAGTGAGCCAAGAATAACAACCATGATACGTTTGTTTTCAGTGGACCCCCTTACGACCCTACGAAACATGTGTATGATGCTACATTTGCGGTAAGTGCAAAAAGTTGTTAACTATCCGAAATGAAATCTTGAAAGGGTACTTCCACATAATGTTCCAGCACATTCATTTTAAGGTTTGAAAGACACCAGCATAAATGTTGTGAACATGTACACAGGAATCGTTATGAAAGCGGAAAAAGATGCTAACCATGGACTCTTCATCCCCTTCACCAAAACGCAAGGCCAAATCACAAATAGCTTGTGTAGTGGACTCGACTGTCATTGGCTCCCCATATGAAAATCTATGATTCTGAAGTTAAGGAAACAGATTCGCAGTAGTTAGTTGGTGACATATGCACTCATTATGTATGAAATGGTAACGCAAGAAATATAGAGATATTACCTGAGTTTCAACCCTTGCATGTTCAACCAGAGTTCTGGCATCAGCAATCAATCCACTCATAGCACATCCAATATGTTCATCAATCTCCATAATTTTCTCCACACTGCTCGGCTCCTATATGAGTATCACCAATAATCAGCATTCCATGTAAACTCGGAGCGCGCACACACACACACACACACAAGCACACACAAACACACACAAACACCACACAGGGAAGCAAGGTAGCAGTATAAGTAAATAAAGTTAGCAACACCTCTCAACGGCAAAAAAACGCACATTCATAAACACATTCACACTACCGAAAATAAAGCCCACGCCATCAGAAATAACTAGTAGGAGAAGCAATTAAGCTAACCTATAGCGCCACTTACACAAACGAAAAAAAGGACGAAAAATTAAAACAAACACACTTAGTAGAACCAAACATACCAGGAGCGGAGAGGTAATGCGCTTCTCAACAGCCAAAACAACTCCTTCTTTAGTCTTTAATCCAATTGCCGTGGAACCCAACTGCCAAATTGATCACCAAAAACAGTGATTACAACAAAATCTGTGACAATGAAAGATCCAAACTTGCTAAACAATGCGTTTCAAAATACAAACACACACACACACACACATCCAATCTCAATGTTCAGCGGCCAAAAAAAAATAAAAATTGAGAAACGTATGATTATTAGTCATACCTTAATAGCTTCAATGGCATATTCAACTTGAAAGAGTCGACCTTCCGGAGAGAAAGTGTTAACCCCGCGGTCATATTCAGTCCTTTTCCATAAACAAACAAAATTCAATAAATTCTCAAACTGAAATTTCCAGAAAATAAAGTTCAGATCAAACCAACCTTGTGAGGAACATCTTTCAATAATTATTTATAAGCGATCCCTTACAGAAGCGGGAGGAAGGGGATGAGAAGTTGATTTCAGATTTGCTGTCAATTATTCCCAAAATCATTCTAAAATTCCAATACTTATCAAACTGGACTTCTTGTCCAACAAGATAATGCCTTTGCTTATGGGCCTTGGGTTTCTTTTGTTTCTCAGTTCTATATGGGTTATTGTGGTCATTTGGGTTGGGCCTACGTTTTTACACATACTATTAGCATCAGATAATTAGTACTCCCTCTTCTTCTTTATTACTACCTCCGTCCCCCAAAAAATAGTCCACATTAAGTTTTCAAATTTATACTAAAAAAGTACAAAACTCAAAATTCAATGTGGACTGTTTTTTTGAAACGGAGGGAGTATAAGCCATTTTTTTCACTAAATTTTATTTATTGAGTTCTTCTAATTTAAAATAAAATTTTAAAATTGTCTTTGTCTCATTTAAATTTTTTTCTCAATTTTTAATTTTTTTTTTAATGTTGCAATTTCAATTGCAATAACACAATAAATAAAACTTCTGATAAATTAAAATATCTTTATAACAAGGACCGGAATTAATACTCCTCAGTCCCAAAATCATTATCTTGTCTATATTATCACTTTTAATCCAATTTATATTAAAATTGTGAATCTAAATTAAACAATAATTTCAATATGGAGGGTTTTTTTTTTTTAAATTTTCATAATATACATACTAATTACTTATGTCTGCAAGATTTATTCCTACACAAAAGCATAACTAAGTATGACTTATTCACCTACATCATTTCCTGACAGTGATATTTTCCTTTTTTTTCTTTTTCTTTTCTTGTTTTAAGTTTGTTGTATTTTTACTTGTGAATACGTAACCAGAAGAAGAAATGTGTTTTCATATAATTTAATTTTAATACTTTATCTTTTCTTATTAACCAAATAATTAAGTAGTATAACCCTAGGTCGTAATTTATCTAAACTTTGAATCTCATGCAAATGTATGACAGTATTTAGTTAGGGCAATGTATACCTATGAATGTTTTTAAGACCATATTCTTTCGTTACTTAGGGGAGAGATCAAGGTTTATTACAATTCTTGATAGACTTGAAGGAAGTGAAAAGTCTATTGACAGTAAAAATGATGAGGTGTACACTCATAAATTCCTTAACGCGATAAGTTATTTTGTTATACCAATCCACAAGTTAACATTGAAGAAGGGGTACCGATCATACTTCTTTAAAATCTAGACCAGTTAGGCGAGTTATGTAATGGTACCGGACTTCAGGTTGACGAATTGTGTGATTGCGTCATTCAGGCAACTATTATATACGGACTAAATATCAGAAAAAAAAATTCATTCCATACATGAACATCCAACCGTCTGACATAAGGATGCTGATTGGATTCAAGAAGAGATAATTCTCGATTATTGTGTATTTTGCTATACCGATCAATAAGAGTCAGTGTCAGTCACTTTTGCAAATGCACCTATTTTTGCCACGTCCGGTCTTTGTCCATGGGCAGCTATATATTATATTTTTCTAAGTGAAATCCATACAGGATCTCAAAATACTCATACAACATGGAAGGAGAATTTAGCAATTGGGCAAAAAATATTGTCTACAAATAAGCACTCTTGATGATATAAATATTTATTAGTTTTTCGATTTTGATTCATTTCATCACTGCGTCCCCAACATCGGCGGATCTACATTGGGGCCATGGGGGCCTTGGCCCTACTGCCCCAATGCAAGCCTTCGATTATATATATATATATATATGTATGTATATATATTATTTTAATACGATTTTTAAATAAATAATTGATATTTTTATGTAATTTTTACTTTTATTTTTTGCTAAATTTACATTCTCTTAATTGATTAAATATGGTCAACATATGAAATAAATTTGTATCAATAAGTAGTATATTATTTTTAAAAAAATCAAATAAAATTACAAGTCATTGTGAATTATACTATGCTAATGATGCATGCATTCTTGCAATAAAATGCTCATAAAATAAATCTCTTGAATTTTATTATGCATGCATTGGTATAAGTGTTTTGTTAAAAAATTTTAATAAAGAAAGTTAAGATTTTGCCTATTGATATGATAGCTATAGAAAGAATTTTTAAGTACGAACACAATAATATGTATTCTTGTATCAAATACTTAACTCTTGAATGATGTCTAGTTTAATTTTTATTTTAAAAATAATATTTTAGAACACACTTATAATGTGAAAGCGGTTAAAAATTTTTATCAAATAAGAAAATTTATTAAGATCAATTCTAATGCAATGATATTATGAAAATTATTTTCGCTAATGTATTATTGATCCCCAGTAAAAATTCATTCTATATCCGCTAATGGTCCCCAACATTATATACTATATTACGCTATATATTGTATAAACACTGAAAGTTTTACAATTATAAAATATTATCACCTGATATTTAAATAAGAACGATGTGTTAATTCGTACAATGCTCAGGTATAAATTAGTCGAGTAAAACAGAAAATTTTCATTATATGATATCACTCCATCTGTCCTAACCAAAAAATAAAAAAATAAAAAATATATAGTCAAATTTTATTAAGAAAATTATACCAAAAACAATAGTTTTGTTTACCAACATCCAAATCAAAACGATTAGAATAATCAAAGTATTATAATAACCAAAACAGAGGTATGTCAGTCATTAAGTCACTATTTTGATGTAGTTGGAAACAAACTAAGTTGGCAAAATCAAATCTTTTAGTAAAATTTATTGATTAAAATAAGAATACTTGAGCCGGCCTGGGAAATTTCCTTCTCTTGGTGTTGCCACAAGAGTTTTCCAATCCAGATTGAGATTGACAAGGAAACACCAAAATAAAAAAATTTTTCAAGTTGGAATAAATTGCAATGAAGTCAACGTTGACAGAGAACATCTATACCTAAGCGTCCTTGGCATTGGTACTGCATTTTGTGTCAGAAGACAGAAATAGAGGGGAATGGAGAAACTGCTTTGTGATGCTGCCATTGAAAACAATGTTACGGCATTTCGCCAGTTTCTGAGAGAAGATCCACTTGTTCTTGATAAAGCCATGATAAATTGTCAAGATATGATGAATCCTCTTCACACTGCAGCACTGTTTGGCAATGCTGAATTTGTTAAAGAAGTTTTGGGTGTCCGTCCATATATGTGTTTCTCTACTGATCGATTCGGAAGAATCCCTTTACATTTCGCAATCATCAATGGCAAATTGGATGTTGTAAAAGAGATAGTTGGTGCTAGGCCGCTCGCAGCTCGAGAAAGGGTTCCCGGTGGAGGAAATGCTCTGCATTTGTGTGTCAAATATAATCAGCTGGAAGCTTTGAAGTTTTTAGTGGAGACAATAAGAGATCCTGATTTGTTAACCGGAAAGATGATGATGGGATGACCATATTACATCTGGCGATTTGCGACAAACAAATCGAGGTATACTTCAAAAATGTCTTATTATACCTTTGATCAGAAATTTCCAGGTTCTTATAGTATTAGTTTCACTTCCAGTTCCAGGTCTGACGAATAAATTGACTTAATTTGCAGAGTATCAAATACTTGATTGAAAACAATGTCCTGCAGGTGAATGTAAAGAGTGCAAATGGGAGCACTCCTTTGGACCTTATTCAGGGAGAAAGTGATTCAGAAATCGCACAAGTTCTCGAGCGCGCCGGAGCCGAGGGAAGCACATACGACCTCATCAGCTCCCGACGAACCAAAACGCTATACAAGAAAAGAGACGTGCTAATGGTTGTGGCCTCGCTTATCGCGACGATGGCGTTCCAGGCAACGTTGAATCCTGCAGGAGGTGTTTGGCAAGACAACAAGCCAGATGGCTCTGATAAACATGTAGCCGGAGAAGCTGTGATGGCACAAAAATATCCAAACACCTACAGAAATTTCATCACAACTAATACAATAGCCTTTGTTTCATCCCTGAGCATAATCTTGCTCCTCATCAGTGGTTTGCCCTTCAAAAAGAGATTATTCTTGTGGGTTTTGATGGTGATTATGTGGCTCACAATTACTGCCATAGCTTTAACTTATAACACATCGATTTATATTCTAACACCAAAAGATGATATCAAAAAACTGAACCTAGTAACTTGGACGGCTATTATCGTTTGGTGCGGCGTGATTTCGCTGTTGTTTTTGGGAAACACTCTTCGATTGATCAACCGATGGCTCAAACGACGACACGGTATTGATCTGTTCAAAATGCTTAAGAGGCAGGGGAATTCAGGTACTCAAGTTCAAAGCCTTGAAAATCCAGGAACTATTCTGGTCTGTTAATTAAACAGGGTCTATATAGCTAACCCTTTTCAGTTCCAAAATGCTTGTTACGGATGCGATAAAGAGGACAATCATTTTGAGACGAAAAGAAGGTGTAAAATATTCTATGTGTTGGTCGAGACTCGAGAGAAAAAAAAAATTTCTTTGGCTACTACAGCAATCACACGTCAAAGTATATATAGCTGCTGCGGGATTAAAATAACGTTAAAGAGAGTACCAATCCATCAAAACTGTTTGTTGGTTAGGTAGTCAATTAGGACTGATGTGCATTGGTAGATAGTAACCTTTTGTTAATAAGTCAGCAACTCTTTTTCTAAGGAGTGTGCATTTGTAAACTAGCGTTGAGCGTCCGCCTTTTATTAAATTAAAAAAAAAAAGAGTAGTATTGATGTGAATTGTTAGTTATGGAATAACTATGCACATTTGGAGACTCTATTCATAGTTTGCAAACTCGTGATCCTGGATCGTAGGATCGAACAATCCTACGATTCCAGGTACCTAACTCGATCCTGGATCGATCAAACTCGAATTTTGCAGTGGGATCGGAGTGGAATTGGTCAGGATCGGTTAGGATCGTACAGGATCGTAGGATCAGTCCGAGTTTACTATTCATAAATTACGAAAAAGTAATTGAGTTTATTGAGATTTTTTTTTTCTCTTATTTCTATTAGATCACATTAAATTGAGACAAATATTCTTTGAGAAAACTTTTATTGCTAAGAAAAATATATTTTAGAAAGTTTTTCTGATAAAATGAAAAAAAAAATTTAAGAGAAGAGTTTTTCTTAAAAAGTTATGAAAAATTCATATAAGAAAAATGAATTTACACAATTCTTTTTGAATAGCTGTTAAATATACTTTATGTAAAAATAATTAAAATCTAATTATCAAAGCAATTAATTATATAACATGAATAATTAATTTTACGATCCTACTATTTCGATCCTATCAATTCCGTTTATGATTTGATCCTATGACGCCATTTCGATTCTACATAGGATCACAATCCTGGAAACATTGCTCCTATTAGCAGAAGCATCATTTAGTTTAAAGATTCTTCTTTTGTTTACAATTCTTGATTGCAGTACTACGAAGCGGTTGGCAGGAAATATATTGTTCCAAACTAGCAAAGTTTATGTTGTGTGCTCGTCCAATCTATCACCTTATAAAATGGAGAAGTTCCGTAATGAACCAAACTCTGCAACTTTGGTCAAACTTATCTTCCTGTTCCTTTCTTTTATCCCCCTCCCCTCCCCCTTTTTGGAGGTCAGTTTGGTTGGGTGAAAAAAAAATTGAGTAAAATTATGAATCCTAGAATAGTCCATTTGTAGTTTTGTTTTTTTCCAAATTTTTTTTGCCATAATTGTCCCATTTGTCAAATTGCCTACAATTTAAGGGGAAAAAATAGTCATTGATACAACTCTTGTACAATTTTGTAAATTTTGATTTTTTTAATAAAATTGAATATCATTTGGCAAGAGAGAAAAAAAACAACCAAGACAGGTGTTCTTACTCTTTTCTGTCCTACGATAACCGTGATGTTCTTTTATCAAACCGATTAAAATAATATAAGAAACGAGAGTAGATTCGTGGCGAAAGAGTAATTTTCTGAACCAGTAATATTATTCATGACAAAAGAGTAATTTTGTAAATTTAAACATTTAATACATTACTATTCTGAATTTTTGGTATCATCAAAGTGCTATGTATTGTTGACAAAAATATGTGATAGACCCGAAAAGACATAACAGAATGTAGTACAAATGTGATCAGTGGAGAAATCCATAACCCACGTCTAACAGGAAATTGATCTGTTTTCAAAGATCCAGTAAGAGCAATGTTTTCTTCCCTTTTCTTTCTTGTTTTGGATAAATATAGTCAGAGTATTCCTTCTTTTATACTATCAGGCATGAATTTCCGAAGTCATTTCTTTATCTTTTAAGCTTAAAAACTAGCTGTTTCCTAGTTGGGGAATATGACTTAAGGACCATTTACATTTTGCGTTAAAAAAAAAAAGGTCTGCTGATGAATTGAACTTCGACAAAACTAAGGATAAAGTGCAGTCAGATATGCAAAGTGTATTGAATTTCTAGACTATTATTATTATTATTATTATTATTATTATTATTATTATTATTATTATTATTATTATTTAACTTTTCACTTATATATGACGTCTTTTTCACTGTTCGTCAAAGATATGAATTTTCAGAATACCTCTTAATTATAGCGTGCAAAGAGTAACACTTGTATCAGGAAAAAGGATTTACTAATTACTAATTCCACCATTTGTAAATAGATGTTGTTGTTTTTGAAAAACATTAAATATTAAAATATATGTTATTTTATAAAATCGAGACAAATTTTGTTTGTTTTTACAAAATGAAAATTGGTGCTAATCATATTATAATTAGTTGTATAGATAATAAATAAGAATGAACTCATATTTTAACCGTTTTTTAAATGTTTCAGTCGTCTTCTTCTTGTTAAAAAAATGTTAGAAAAATAATTACTTTAAAGTAGAGGGTATACAATATCGTCATCACTCAAAAGAAGTAGTCAGAGTAGGCAAGAAAGAAATGGTTTTATTAATCGAGCTAATATCGTACAGGACTGATGAACCGGTACGTATCATTTTAATTCAAAAAAACCAACATTCTTGGATTTCTTGGCGCTCATGAGTCATGACTTACTAGTCAGTTTACCTTAAAAGGGATCTATTTTCATCAGCGTATCATCCACATTTGGTAATTTGGCACCAAGACAAACAGTTAAGACAAAGATTTACTTATACCAACGAACATATATTTAGACGTGAGCAAAACGTTTCATTCTTGGTTCTGTTTGGCCAAAACGGCAGGGACTGTTTCATGACACCTACTATTTGATGTTGAACTGTATTGAAATAATCAAAGTTTACATAATTGAGACTTGAGGGGTACATTTACAGAGAGGTTAATTTTCGGATCGATTGTTTAACTTCACTGACAGCATCATATTTTACGAGATTTCAAACAAATGCTTGAATTATCAAGGCTAGGCTATTGTTGGGATAGCCGTAAATTTCCGAAATCCAGTGGCGTAATTGTCTTTTATATTCTCTTTATTCCAGAATGATTGCTAGTTTAGATTTTTATTTCTTCAATAATTTTGTACGGAGAAAGAAATATTTAAACTGAACAATCATTTCGACACGCATAGAGTATTAACAAAACTGTATAAGAACATAAAGATTTGAAACTTTACATTTTTAATAAAAATATATGAACTCACCATCACTAAGTTGTGGCAAGTAACATATTATGTAGTGGCGTATTTCAGTTGTAAGTATCTCAATTGAAAGCAATGGTATCAAATTCTGATATTGGTTGACAGAATAGACACACTGATTAAATTTTAAGGACCAAGGACAGAAATGATCCATAGATTCGAATGTTCGTGATTTAGCGTAACAAGAACGAAACACACACACACACACACACACACAAAGATTCATATGATAATTCTATTCAGATTCCAGTCACTAGGATCCAGAATGCTGAATTTCTGATATACCACACTCAAAAACTAAACAGCAAGAAGGTTTTTCTCTACGCTTTTATTCTTGTTCTATACGTTTGAAAAAGTTTTTTTCTCAACTTCTTGAACCGAACCATCGGCACTTTAGGACAAACCTGTAGAGTTAAAAAACGTTTGTCACGAGTATTTCAACTCATGCTTATATATCATAACTAAAAAATAGATGCCGGCTTATATATTTAACTTCAATCAGAATGCACTCAGCATATTAAGTTCAAATAAGTTGCCATTTTTCCTTTTTGCTATAATCCCACATTAAAGAAGAATCTAAAATGGGGGATCAAAGTCATGAAATTCCTTCATTTGAGCTATCCAAGGAAAAGAGTCCTGAAAAATTTAGAGACCTCACAGGGCAGGATGAAGAAGATGATTCTCCAATTGAACAAGTGAGGCTGACAGTTCCACCAACTGATGATCCAACTCTTCCAGTTCTTACAATCAGGACATGGGTTCTTGGGATATTATCATGCTCAATTCTAGCTTTTGTCAACACATTTTTCGGGTACCGGCAAAACCCGTTGGGTATTGGATCGGTGTCAGCACAAATCCTAACTCTCCCGATTGGGAGATTAATGGCGGCCACATTGCCTGATAAAAAAATCTTTCTTCCTTTCACCAATTGGTCGTTCTCACTGAATCCAGGACCATTCAATCTCAAGGAGCATGTTCTAATCACGATCTTCGCGGGTTGCGGCGCGAATGGTGTTTATGCTCTGTTCATCGTTGCCAGCGTCAAAGTTTTCTACCACAGGAGCTTGAATCCTGTGGCAGCATACATTCTTTCGCAAACCACGATGTTGCTCGGGTATGGCTGGGCTGGAATCCATCGGAAAATCCTCGTTGATTCACCTTACATGTGGTGGCCCAATAATCTCATTTCAGTTTCCCTGTTTCGCGCTTTGCACGAAAAGGAAATCAGGCCGAAAGGTGGACTTACAAGGCTGCAGTTCTTCCTAATGGTGCTGATTTCGAGCTTCGCCTATTATCTTGTCCCTGGATACTATTTCCCTTACATTTCTTGCATTTCTGTGGTTTGTTTGATTTGGAAGAAATCTGTTCTTGCGCAACAACTTGGTTCGGGTCTAACAGGTTTAGGGATGGGATCATTTGCGTTGGACTGGAACACTGTTTCCGGCTTTCTTGGAAGTCCGATCGCGACGCCTACTTTTGCCATCATGAATACTTTGGCTGGATATGTTCTAGTGGTTTACATAATCGTCCCAGCTCTGTATTGGAGTAATGTGTATAAAGCCAAGACGTTTCCGCTTTATTCCTCGCAGACCTATGATTCGGACGGGAACGTATACAACATCAGCCGGGTCCTGAACGAGAAAACCTTCAAGTTTTACGATGAGGGATACGAAAACTACAGCAAACTTTATATCAGCATCCTTTTTGCCATAGGCTATGGCATCAGTTTCGCGACTTTAGCCGCGACTGTCACCCACGTTGGACTGTTTTATTCGGGGACAATTAGGGAGCTGACATCCAAAGCAGCCACTGGATTGAAAGGCCAAATGGGAGACATACACACCAGGCTAATGAAAAGGAACTACAAGGCAGTTCCTGATTGGTGGTTTCATGGTATATTGATTGTGGTTTTCGGGTTATCACTCTTTTGTTGTGAAGGTTTTGGTGGACAACTCCAACTTCCATGGTGGGGGCTGATTCTAGCATGTGGCATTGCCTGGTTTTTCACTCTGCCAATTGGGATAATCCAAGCAACCACAAACATGCAACCTGGCTTAAATGTCATCACCGAAATGATCATCGGGTTTATGTACCCTGGAAGACCCTTAGCTAATGTTTCTTTCAAGACCTATGGCTATATTAGCATGACACAGGCTTTGGGCTTCCTGAGTGATTTCAAAGTTGGACATTACATGAAAATTCCTCCTAGATCCATGTTCTTAGTTCAACTGATTGGAACATTGATCTCGTCTTCCATCCAATTCGCCACGGCTTGGTGGCTTCTGACCTCGATTCCAAACATTTGCGACCCGGCCAAACTTCCGAAGGGTAGCCCCTGGACCTGTCCAGGAGACAGAGTGTTCTACAATGCTTCAATCATATGGGGAGTGATTGGTCCCAAAAAAGTGTTCACCAAAGATGGGGTTTACGGAAACTTGAACTACTTCTTCCTGATTGGGTTCCTGGCCCCTATTCCTGTTTGGTATTTTTCGCGGAAATATCCCGAGAAGAAATGGATCAAGCTGATAAACATGCCCATATTCATCAGTGGTGCTGGTGGATTGCCACCGGTGAGGTCAGTGAATTACATAATGTGGGGTGCGGTGGGGATTTACTTCAATGTTTACCTCTTTCAGAAGTTCAAAGGTTGGTGGGCTAAACATGCTTACATCTTAAGCGCTGCACTTGATGCTGGAATTGCATTCATGGGAATTCTGCTTTACTTTGCACTTCAGTCCAGAGACATTGTTCCAGATTGGTGGGGACAAGAAAGCGATGATCGTTGTCCATTGGCGACTTGTCCAACACAACCCGGAATTCGGGCCGATGGTTGTCCTGTTTTCTAAGTTCCGTAGACATTGTAAGGATCATCAAGAGATGATTCTGCCATTCTGGGTGAAGCTTGGAAACCATCCTTATGCTAATGAGGTTTAATTTGATTTCCCAAGTTAGTAGGGTGTATTAGTTGTAACATCTTCTTTAGTGCCTCAATTTGCTTCGGACTCTCATCTTGAAAATGTTCGAAAAAGGAATTCTAAAACTTCAATCATCAATCTGTGAAGTCCTAATCTTTGATCACTTCGAAATCTCATAACAATCAAGACACAACTTTGTTATCGATCATCCGTTACTCAGGTGTTAAACCAGTTCAATAGTAGATGAAGAGATTGCACATTTTCTTCCTGACAAAAACTTCATTGATGTTTATTCAACAGAAACCTAAAGCATTTATAAGTGACTAGCAGAGTCCATCTGCATTCCGTTGTTCTCGACTAAAAACCAAAGCCAATCCGAAGAGAAGCCAGTATAAGAAGGACAAAACTAGTGTGATGTTCTTATTTTCTGCATTAGTCTAATTAATCTAATGTTTTAGTAGTCTAGATTCTAGAATTTGGTAATAACAAAGTTTAAAATGGGGTATTGAGTAGTTGATTGTTGGGATACTTAGTCGCGAGAATGGCTAGCTAACGAAAATCTCCCACTTGTTAAGCATATAAACAGCTTCAATTTGTGTTATAAGGAATAAGACCACAAGTAGAACGAATACAAATTAACACGCTATAACTGAGGGACCGTTTTGACGAGTCTACATCCACTACCCTTGATGGACCGGCCCATTATACAGCTTTAGGGTCCAACCGCCTCTTGGATGGCGGTGTAATATTACTAACCCTAGTGGTATTCGGTACTTGCCAAGTCTATAAATAGGGACCATTATTTCACAATAGAGGTACGCTATCTTTAGTTCCCAATCAATATACGCACACTATTCTAATTTTATGACTTAAACATCAGAGTGTCTACCCTCGGGAGACCCCCGAGGTTCTTTTTCGTAGGAAGCCCTAGTCATAGTTCCACAACCGAGCCACGGATACAATTCCAGGCATCGTCAAGTGGCACGCCCGGTGAGACCCGATAACTAGGGTTTGTGTCACCAAGCTTTTCAAAACCTTTCAGTCTGTTCCCATCACTTTAAGACCAGGGTTTTTGGAAGATAAGATGGTGGTAGTCGACAGTCCTCAATCCAGTGTCGCATCAACTGGAAGACGGACAAGCCTAGAAGACGGTGAAACCCTAGCACACTTCTAATAGAGGCAGAAGCGGAAAAGAAACGACTGGCGGACGAGAAAAGGGAACACCCCTGTAAAGCCAACTGACCAGAAAGGTCACCGCAAGGCCCCCGACCCATATCAAAAACAACGACTGGCCGAGCTTGAAGTGAAACTGAAAAAGTTGAAGGACGACAATTCCTTCAACCAAAGAAAAAAGAGATACACCCTCGAAGAATACAAGCGCTGTTGTCTGTTAGGCCTGCCCGATCCTACAGATCAAGATCTGGATGATTTGGTCGAGGAGAAAGAGGCAAGAAGGACTTTGGATCTTCTCGAGATAAGAAGAGGTAAACGCCCAGTCTCGGATGAAGGAGAAGAAAGGGCTCGCAAAGAAATCCCTTATCGTGAAGCTTCCAGTGCCGAACTTTCCAACACCCCTGGTGACACTTTCTGGGAAGCGCTCGAGAAGACAAATCAGTGGTTTATGCGGCGATCCAACAATTTGCACAAGAACACCAGCAAAAGAAATAATCCCGTAGACAAGATCGACCGAAATCATCCAGTGTCGAGGAACTATCTAAAAGGGATTGTAAACCTCCAAGAGGCAATGTCCACTCTCGACTCGGACCAAAAATTCCTCCAGAAAAGTCCCGTCATGATTATCGTCAAGGAGGAGATCCTCCGCCTCGACACCAAGAAAATCGAGGCAATTGATATGCTTATATTTTACCTGTTTATTATATCCCTAATTTTTTATTTTTGTAATATATTTTGGGTATAAATATGCTTTTATATGATTTTATCTTTATTTGTAGGTTTTGTACTCAAAATGAGAAATTGTTGAAATTGTGGACTAAAATGAAGATAAAAGAAACTTAAAGGGGAGAATTGAAGATTTGATAAATTGACAAGGAATAAATTAGAAGACTTGAAGATTTAGAGGACTGAATTACAATTTTTGTTTTTTTTAGTGTTTGGCCGAAACAAAGACTTGTGGCTGTTTTTGGAGTTGAATTGGGTAAGAATTTTAATCCCAATATTATTTGGGGAAACAAGTTTTCTTCCTCTCCAAGTAGTAGGGTTTGACGGAAGCTTAGAAAAGGAGGATTAGGGTTTTATTTTTGGACGAACTGGACCGAAAACTCACCGAAACCTTCACGGCTGCAAAACTCTCCCCCACCGACCTCCACCTCCACCTTCTTGCCGCTGCAACTTCCTCCATCTCCACGCATCAGCCTTGAACTTTGGCAGCTTTCTGCCCACATAGCTCCACGCAGCTCCAGTCTCCCCATCACCACCGCAGCACCTTGCTTCCATAAGCAGCACCTTGCTTCCTTGTCCATCTCCACGCACCAGCAGGAGCTTCATCACCACGCCTCATCATAATCATCCCATCACCGAACTCCTCACCGCCGCTCACACCTCTCGGCCCTTCACCATCGCACCAATTCTGAACCACAGCCAATCACCTTGTCTCCATCATCATCTTCAGATTTTAAGCTTCCAGCAAGCCGAGACTTTCGGGTGTTTTTGTTTTAATTATTTAATTCAGATTTTTTAGATTATGTCTCTAATTATTATTGAATTATTTTTGATAATGTTTAGTGGCTAAATTCTTTTAACCTAAGGCTTGGATGTAGCCGCCGGATTTATTTGGTTTATTGGATTCATGATACTTTGATTTTTCCATAGATCAATATTTAATATTCTTGCTTTTATTCCATGTTTGTAATTGGCCACCACTTGCATGTTTAAAGATATTAATTGATGGAACGACAATATTAATATTAGTTCATGGGAATATTGGACTTAGGTAGTGAACCACGACAGTAGGAACACAACCTTTGCAACGTTAGATTCTTAAGTTCTTATTGTGCTTTTGTTAATCCTATAGTCACGAGAGTAGTCATAGGGTTAATCTAAGTAAGAGAATTATAGCGCGAGAGTGTATAGTTCTTAATTAGGTGAATCGTTGTGAGATTAATGGAAGTTAAAAGTCAGATATTTGTGAATTGAACTAAACCAAATATTCAGTAGGTGAAACCAATGTCCTAGGTTTTCTTTGTCTGATTATTTGAATTAATATTATTTGCTTTTATTTTATTTATTTATTTTAGTTTTAAATTTTATAAATCTGAGATCATCATTTATCTAGATAATAATAGGAGTAATTTATACCTGGTAATTACTTTTCCTTCTCTGTGGATACGACCCTATTTTCCGCTATACTAGTGTTAAGTAGGTAAATTTATTTGACTAGTTGTGACAACGGCTTGTCAAATTTGGCGCCATTGCCAGTGAAGGCAGCTAATATCGAATTTAGATTACTTTTATTAGTTTAGATTTTTATTTTATTTTATTTTATTTCTTTCAAATATTTTTGCCTTGTTTTTATATGCGAAGTGCTAATTCTGAGACTTTGCAATTTGATCCAGAGATAAAAAGAACAGCTCATGCAAATAGAAAAGAAGTAAGGCTAAGAAAGGAGAAGAATCAAAGTGAAACCATGGGGGATAGAGTAAACACTCGGACACTGAGGGTTTACTTCACACCTACGGAGAATGTTGCTAGGTCAAGTATTACTAGGCCTATCATTGCTGCGAATACCTTTGAGCTCAAGCTAGCATTGATCCAGATGGTGCAGCAGAATCAATTCTCCGGTTTTAACAATGAGTATCCAAATGCGCATATTGACAACTTTTTAGAGATCTGTGATACTGTTAAGATAAATGGTGTGACATTAGATGCAATCCGGCTGAGACTTTTTCCTTTCTCGTTGAGGGGAGAAGCGAAGAATTGGTTGAATGCTTGCGATCCTGGTTCCATCACAACTTGGGATGAGCTTTACAATGAATTCCTGATCAATTTCTTCCCACCAGATAAGGCAGCGAAATTGAGAAATCAAATTATTGGGTTTATTCAAGATGATGATGAGACATTTCATGCTGCATGGACAAGATTTAAGGAATTGCAAAGAAGATATCCTCACCATGGTATTGAGAAAAGTACTCTAGTTCAGACTTTCTATCAAGGATTGACAGACTTTGCAAGAAACAATGTGGATGCTGCAGCTGGAGGTTCATTAACGGATAAGTCAATTGATGAAGCCTATGAATTGTTTCAAATTATGGCAAAGGATAGGAATCAATGGTCGAACTTGAGAAGTGTTTCCAAGAAGCCTGCTGGAATGTATGAAGTCAATGAACTTAGTGCCATGAACGCAAAGATAGATGCACTGACTAAGGCGATGGGTAATCTTGTAAATGCTAATGCAGTCTTCTATGCCACTGTCTGTGAGTTCTGTGAAGGTCCTCATTTGAGCTCTGAATGTATGCAACTGGCAAGTGCACAATATGTCTCTAATTTCAGCAAGCCTCAGCAGCAGAACAATCCGTACTCCAACACATACAATCCTGGGTGGCGAAATCATCCAAACTTTTCTTGGAATAATCAAGGGGCTCAAGACTTTAATGCAAGACCTCAAAACCCTCCTGGTTTCCAAGCAAAGTCACACCAATCTGCACCTAAGTCAGCAACAGAGGCAAGTTTGGAGAGAATGGAGAAATTGTTGAGTGGAAACAATAAACGGTCTAACAGAATAGAAGCAATGTTAGATCAATTGAGTACTGCTCATAGAACCTTGGAGATGCAACTGAGTCAAATGGCCTCCGCCATGAATACTCGTGGGCAAGGTCAACTGCCAAGCAAGTCTGAAATCAACCCTCGTGAAAATTGTAGTGCTATCATGTTGAGAAGTGGGAAGCAGTTGGGTGACAAGGAGGAACCAAAGACCACTGAAGTGAATGTGACCATTGATGAGAAGAAAGAAGAGAGTAAAGAGAGTGATGAAGAAAGAAGAGAGTGATGAAGAAAAAGTGGAGAAAGTGGAACAAGAGGAAGAAAAGAT